GGTAACTAAGTTAAATAATAGATAATTATTATTGCAGTTGAATAGCAACAACTCAAAATTTGAGGGTTAAAGAGGTTTTTTTTTCAATAAATGGATGTTAAAAAAACTTTAATATTATAAATGGTGACTGACCTCTCATCTATATTTTTATAATTATCTTCGTTACAATCCCACAGTCAAACAGATGACAAACCTGTTATGCCCTGGACCAAAACCAGCCCCACGCAGCTGATCATCAAAGGAATGGAATTTACTCTGGCATACTCTTATGTATGATGCCTTTCCAATACCAAATCCCAAGATACCAGCAACTGTAAAAACAGGTTAGGAAAGATAGATTATATAGAGGTTCAGGATCTCCTCCATTAATTACCTTCCAGAACTTTCTTAACAGTAGTAACTTTTATATTAAAAATACCATGATAAATCAATGAACAAAAAACTCTGAGAATGAAGCTCCCTATTAAAGAGCAGGATTCAGAACTGGAGACTTTCTGATCTCAGTTTTGAACTGGTGGTAGAAGGGTCAGGACAGAGTAAGCACCCTGAGCCAGGCAGCCCGAGGGAGGCCCAGTCAGCAACCAAATGTCTGAGGCCACCAGGGGTGGTGGAGATGGATTTTGGGTTGTGGCTCTAGGTAGCTTCCAAATCAATGGGTAGGAAATTTTCTTTATGGATTGGAGTTTGGGGAGCTACAGTGCACCCTGTCTGTGGGGGAGAAAGGTCATGAGGCAGAGGGAACTTCCTGTGGAAGAAATCTCCAACCTGCTCCCCCTGCTGGGAATGAAGTTTCAGATTGTAAACTGGAAAACATTCTCTTTGTAGAGAATAGGTCTAGGTATTATAAGCGGAAAAAGGCAAAACCCCAAGTTTGTGGCAAGTGTATTATTAGAAAGTCCCTAGGTTTAAAAAAAAAATCATTAATTTGTTATGTCCATTATAAAAAACAACTCTGAAAAGACTATCCAAAAGAAGAATGTTTAAATCCCTAATGGACCTATCATTCTGAGGCTGTGCTGTTGATATCCTTGTAGGTCCTGCCAGTCCCTCCTGTTCTGTGTTTTAAAGAGGATTAAGGTAAAGTCCCTATTGCTCAGCTTTATATCAGAAAATGTTGAATAAACTGCAAAGTGGCAAAAAATGAAGACTGATTTTTCAGAGAGTCAATTTGGTTAACCCGGACATTCATATCTCCAGTTGCTATAAACATTTTCTTTTTAAAAAAAATGATTCTTTTTTTACTTCTCTGACTTACGTGCAACTTTAGGCAATGATCCGAATCTTGGGTTAGCTGCTAAATAGCCTAAGGAGTATATGAAAATAAATTATTATTTCATTTTATAACATTTGAATTTATAAAGTATAATGAAATCAAAGCCTAAGATATACACAGATTCTCAATCGAAAGAGATGGTCTTAAAAGAGTTATGATTCGAAGGCAGCAATGCTGAGCCGAGTCCTTCTCATGCTGCCATCTCTCTGGTTCCCTCTTCTGATCCACTCTCACTTTTTTTTTTTTTTAAGATTTTTTTTTTTTTACTGGGGAATTGGGGAGATGGAAACAGTGCTGGGGAATTGGGGGAAGGGGAACAGATAAGTTGCTGTTCTTTTGTTCTTCAGTCTAGTTGTGGAGGNAAGTATTAAGCTTTACATCAGAAATTACTTAAAAGCCTTTCTTCAGTGTTTGCTGTATTGTCTTAATGTTTATGGTAAATAAAATATAAAGGAACATGCATCTTCATTGATGTTCTTATTGTTTGCACTCTAAAGACAATTATAAGTAAAGGGTGTTTTGTAGGGCTAGGAAATAAAGTCATATCTCTGAATATTTAAAAATGATATGATAAATGGATTAATCAGCATACAGTAAATGGCTCAGTGCTTTAAAAAAAGCAGTGGTCATGTTCGAAAACTTTGCAAATTTGAGGGGAATAAAAATTTGCTATACTTTCTTCAATATTGACCTAATGTTTGCTTCTGGTTCGGTTAAATGGAAAACGAAATTGTGGTTTCATCTAAATTCTACTTACTTGTAAACATTTCTTTTAGAAACTTAGTGTTTCAGTTAACTATTGCTGCAAATCATCCCAAAATTTGGCCACTTAAAACATTAATCATTTATTATCCCAGTTTTTCTGTGGATCAGGAATTAGGGATTCAGCTGAGTGATTTGGCTCTTGGTCTCAGGTTTGCAGTCAGATGCTGGATGGAGCTGAAACATCAGGGAGCTAGAGAGCGGGGGCCTGGCCAGGGCATCATTCCTCCATTTAGTTCCAGGGCCTTGCCATGTCTCCATGAATTAGTGTGGGCTCCTCACAACAGTGTGCTCACGAAAGTCAGACAATTTACATGACCACGTTGGACTCTAGCATGAATTTCAGGAAGGATGTTAAAAGCTGCACTGCCTTTGATTTATGACCTAGCCTCAGAAGTCAGTAGCATCATTTCTGTACAAGCTGCCTGTCAAAGGGCAGGAACATAAGACTCCCACTAGACATTTTTTTAAAAACGTGGGATGGAAGGTGTTGCGTTATCGTTTCAGTCCACCATTTGGCCACAATAATTCACACCCCTCCCACATGCATAATCAACTCACAGGACCTCTGATTCCAATCCATCAATCTAGGAGCTCATCTTCTAAGCAGGTACAGGTATGGATGAGGCTCTTGGGTAAATCTTGAGCATCAGTCTTAGTCTGAAGACCTGTGAATTGCCCTGTTCAACCCAAATACCAATTAGGTATAACATTACTTGTCCAGACATCCCTGTTCAAACAGTGAAATGAAAGGCACACACCAGTCACTGCCAAAGCAGTTCTGAAGTAGAGCCAGCCTCATGTTGCCAGTTCTTTGACTAGGGCTAAGGCATGTCCTCCAGGGAGGCATTTGTCATGCCTCCGTCCTACCTTTCCCATAAAGGGAGCTCATGCTTGCAGCTGAGTAGTTTTCTCAGCCTGCCCATAGAAATCAGGGATCCCAACGGTTTTTTATACTATCCCTGTCCAAACGTATAGAATTTTTTACGTCTGTGGAGTTCTTAAGTATCAATTGAAAATCCATTCCGTTATACAGAAGCCACCCATGTCTATTGGAAACAGCCCCTTTTCTATGTTGGGCTCCCTGTGAGGCTGATGAAAAACCCCTAAGATTCTTAGAAGCCTTGGGCAAGGTCTACAAGGTTATGCCTTTAAGACCTGAAAAGAGCTATTTGTGCTTCTGAAATGTCCTGTGTTGTACTGTCATCTTTCTGAAGTCTTGAACAAATAACTGTCCCACTCTGGATTTGATCTTTGCCTAGAAGCTTTTTTTTTTTTTTAAGATATGGGAAGATGTGTAAGCAACACAGAAGATAAACAGGGTTAATATATATCGCATACAACAGGTTCTTACAAATTCAAAGAAAAACCACAAAATGGAAAAGCTAAAGATGTGAATTAGGTCACAGAAGAGCAAAGTAAATGACCATCAAACNTTTGTTGCACAATTTGGATGTCTATTTTCTGAGGATTCCAAGATTACTACATTCGTGTTAAACATGAGTGGTGTTTAGCTGTGATTTTTAAAACAGGCAAGTTAGTCTGGCAAAGGCAGTTTCTAGTTCTGTCAAAATGTGTGACATGACTTCTTCTAAAAGTAGAGAGCAGTGATAAACCTCTAGCTCTTCCTAGCAACCAAGACAAATCAAATAGCAACCAATTTTCCCACTCATATCTACCTGATGGGAGGCAAATGGGTCATATTGAAATGTTAGTCTGTTAGGGCTTAATTAAATTACTTAGTCATATACACATGTCATCAGAAAAGACATGAATTGCTAGGGCTACAATCAATAATCATAGTAATGCATAATGAATATCAACTCCTAAAAAGTGTTACTGTCCAAACAAGTGATACTGAATTGGAGTGATTTAAGAAGTCAAAATGAGTATTTCAAAGTAAAATTATCCTTGTCAGCAATGTTGTAAATATTGGGGCTATATCTGTTGGCTCTATTATGACATTTTCAAATGACAAATCATGAATTTTTTTTTTAATTGGAAGAGACCTTAACACACAACCTGAATTCACACCCTTTTCTTATTTATATAAGGCAGGCCCAGAAAGAGGCAGTGACTCAGCAGAAAAGGTTATTCCAGAGACATTGTAAGAGAAGTATTAATGGGTGCTGCCACTTTTCATCCATTCCACAAATATTGAATAGGTACTTTCTATATGTGAAGCACTGTGCCTGGCTCTGGGATGAAGCAATGAACCTGAGTGACATTATTTCTGAACTTGATGAGGTTAGAGTCAAGTGGAATTTAGGAAGGTTTCCTCTCAAGAAATTCTAAATAATACTCTTGGCATTTGTTCTTGGACACATGAAGGAAAGTGTTGTAAGTGTATCACGTTTTGCAAGGTGAGGTAAATCAGATATTATCTCTGCCCTTAAAAGCTTCTCAAAACAGATTTAAACTCTAAACGACTCCAGAAATATGCAAAGTCCCTGCTCAAAAATAAACCATCATAATTCTAATAAGATACTCAGGCAGTTTGCTGCAGCACATACAGTGTTACAGATTAAGAGAGGTGTGACTTACCTCTCTTCCAGAAACTTTCTTCTTGGCATTCTCGGATGATCTTTGAAATCTCCCCTCTGTGGATGTGTAGTTTTGATTTTGGACAAAACAACAGGCTCTGTAAGGAAAGTGCTATGGTGAATCGACTGAAATTATTAAAAAAGCATCCACTCTGTTTTCTCTGGAGGAGGGCAGGGTGAGCTGTTCACTCTGGTCATCCAGCCTGTCGTTCTGTGCTGACCACCAGCGCAGAGCAAAGACAGACCCTTCTCAGTCAGTGCCTTCCAGCAAGGCACGCTGAAAGGCCTTGGGCAAGGAAAGCATCCCATTTGGAGAAGCAAATAGTGACTCATGAACTAGCAAGCATGGAGCAGATATCTGCTCATGATGAATTCTTGATGAGACCACATTTTCTTTTTTACTTCCAGCCTCTGTCCATGCAGTTCATGATTCCTGCAATGCTATTCACTCCCTTTGCCTACCTGGGTCTCCTGTGGACCCAGTTCAGTGTGGCCTCCTGGGTAAAGAGAGAGATTTCCCTGCAGCACAGTATTTACACATCTGGGATCGCACTCTGAGCGTTGCATTACAAGTCATCTATTGATAGACTGCTATTACAATTTACCTATTCATTCTTCTGTATGCGTTTTTAGACTAGGAACTTGTCAACAGGTTGCTTTTAATTTTTCTGCATAGCTTCCTTTCTATCTTGACATTTTTTAACAATATACATCTGTAAGTGGTCTGCAAATAATTTCTGGTGGAACTATTGATATGGTTGACATAATTTTTACTAGCTGTACAATAATTTTATCATGTTGATATGCTGCAATGGGGACTAATTCCCATCATTTATGATTCCTCCCCCTTTATAGATATGCACGTATTATTCACTCATTCTTACCCAGATTCTCTACTGTCATTCCCCTCTGCCCATCACCACCATTCTGGATATTGAATGTGGATCTTTTCTGTGTATGCATCTTTGCAAAATGTTCACTGTTTTGGGTGCATGCATCTTTTTAAAATGTAATTGTTTTATATAGTTAACTTTATTTTAAAAACATGTTCAACTTGGCTGTATGCTTTTAAGATCCCTCCCTATTGCTGTATACAGAGTTGACTGCTTCTAACTGTTGCATAATTCTCTAGGGTGCATCCAAGTCCCACCATTACATGTCCCCTTACAGACCCACGGGAGAACATTTTTCAGATATATATCTAGATGTAAAATACAGGGCATATTCCCAGTATGACAACGTCTTGATAGACTGCTCTCCCCAGGGGCTGTGCCAGCCTCCACTCCCACCAGCAGTGTCGGAACGGTTCTCTGAGCCTACGGAGCCTAATAAAGCTAGTTAAGTTGGATTCCAAACAGGTTGCAATAAAGAAAGGATTTTCTGGGCCGGCCGAGTGGCGCGATGGTTAAGAACTCGCTTGGGATGCCAGAGGGCCCCGGTTCGGATCCCACATATGAGGGCCAGTGACACTGC